ATCCTGAAGCAAAGTTCTTAACCCGAGGTACTATTTCTGGGTTAGCGGAGTCTGTAACCTGAAGCGTATGTAACCTGAAGCATCTGTAACCCGAGGTACCACTGTAATTTTCTTTCAATGAACAGCAGGCTGTAAACTTCAAATCCTCTTTCCGTAACTGTTCCCATGATGAAAATATGTTCCTGCTTTCCACGTTTATAGATAGCCCACTTGATGGCAGTTGCCTTCTCCAGCTCTCCTTCCCCAGCACTCATATACAGATAGTCTAAGCCAAAGCCTAGGGCTTGCTGATCAGAAGGTCGGTGGTTTGAATCCCCTTGATGGGGTGAGCTCCTGTTGTTCAGTCCCAGCTCCTGCCAACCTAGGAGTTCAAAAACACGTCAACTGCAAGTAGATAAATAGGTACCGCTCCGGTGGGAAGGTAAACGGCGTTTCCGTGTGCTGCTCTGGTTTGCCAGAAGCGGATTAGTTATGCTGGCCACATGACCCAGAAGCTGTAGGCCGGCTCCCTCGGCCAGTAAAGCGAGATGAGCGCCGCAACCCCAGAGTTGGCCACGACTGGACCTAATGGTCAGGGGTCCCTTTACCTTTACATCATTTTCATATAATTTTCTTTCAACGAACAGCAGGCTGTAAACTTCAAATGCTGTTTCCGTAACTTTTCCCATGATGAATATGCTTTCCACATGTTTATAGGTAGCCCATTTGGTGGCAGTTGCCTTTTCCAGCTCTCCTTCCCCTGCAGTCATATTCAGAGAGCTGCTGACTAGTTCTGAGGGCAGCTCATAGAGTTAGATTTAAAGTTAGGACTAGTGGCCATCTTTTTAAAATAATATTTTATTAAGGCTTTTCATAATACAGTGCAATATAAAACAAAATAGTCTGAACAAAAGCAAAAGTAGAAAGAGAAAGGAAAATGCAAAGTCCTCTCTCAAAGGTAGACCTTAACCCTTATCTCACACAGAGAGGGGTGGACCCTCCTAACTCTCACCTGAGAGCTTCCCTTTCTTCTCCTAGCCTCCCCCCCCCAATTCTTCCCTTCGCTGCCTTCCGTGATTTGCATTGTGCTTCCATTGCGCTGAAATGAATGAGGTGGAATAACATGCTGACAACGTAAGTTACACAATGAATCCGGACACCGAGGTGAATATTGTAATTTTCAGCAGAAAGCGAACTGCAGTGGAAGGGAGACAGCGTTGCATGCAACATATACAGGGAGGAATGGAACGGAACGGAAACCAATGCCTTCTTACACCCATAACAATACTTTCCCCTTCCGACAGGCCCCGGAGAGTGTGAAGCCACCAAGCAAGACGCCATGCAATTCGTTAGCAAAGTGGAGCAACTCATTAAGGACTCCAACAGCTCCCACTTTCCTTTTGGGCAGAGTTTTTTAGTAGCGAAAGGCATCACACTGACAGACGAAGAGCTCCTGAGCGATATTTCTCCATCGGCGAGCATCACGATTTCAGAAGGGCTGCTGACCGGAAGCGATTACGCCATTCGGCTGGCTGCGCAATCGAGTATGTTTGGAATGGGGGTGGGTGGGTGGGGAGAATGGTTTCTGTCGATCTGGTGAAACAGATGTTATTTTTGGTGGAGGGACCTCAACTTTTGTTGGCCAGGTGGACTCTTATGGGAGAGTTAGATAACCAATCAGGCCCTTGGGGGATCTTGAAGAAGCTGGTTCTGGTTTCGCATTTGCCAGGGGGTGGGGGAATAATGCAAAAGATGGCGCTCCATGGCATCTTAGGGAAGGGCTGGAAAAGACCTCTTTCTGAAACCCTGGAGAGCCATTGCCAGTTAATGAAGACAGCCAATGTGGTACCCTGTTGAGGGCTGTTATGTATGTATGTATATATATATGTATATATGACATTTTCATCCCACCGTTTTCTCCATGGAGCCCAAGGTGGCATAAGCACCTTGCCATTGCTCTGCTGAACATCAACCTCTCCCGAAACTGGGGGAAACAGCTACTGGGGCTAAAATACAATAGGAAATAGATATCCATGGCAAACTCCCACTTTTCCAGGCTTTCTCAGCTAGATAAATCAGTCTTTGCCACCAGTGTCCATTTTGTCTTGTTTTAGTTTTTTTCAAATGTATCTGGGTTTTAAAAAACAAACAAAAAAAAACTGGGTTTTTTTGCCATTTTGATTGTACATCACCTTGAGATGATGTTGTAGATGGCAATCAATAAATTACTGTTAACAATGTGTGAGGTAGCAGTTAAAGCATTGAGCCTAAGACCTGGGAGACTTGGGTTCAAATTCCCCACTCGGCCATTAAGCTTGCCAGCTGACCTTGGACAGTCATGGCCTCTCCAGCTAATGTACCTCACAAGGGTATTGCGAGGATAAAATGAAGAGGGGAAGAACCATGCAGGTCACCTTGGAGAAAAGGTGTCATTTGACCTTGGAGGGAAGTCATGCCACAGATGCAATAGTAGTAGTAGTAGTAATAATAATAATAATAATAATAATAATAATAATAATTTATTTATATCCCCCCCTCCCCAGCCAAAGCTGGGCTCAGAGTGGCTAACAACAGTAGAAATAACACAGTTTACATAAAATCACAATCAGTTAATTGAAATGCATTCTAAAATCAATTCAGAATCAAATTAATGGCAACCATTGGGCTAGAGTTCTATGAGGATTACAGAAGGAAGGGGTCAGACTGTGCCTTGGCCAAAGGCCTGGTGGAACAGCTCTGTCTTGCAGGCCCTGCGGAAAGATGTCAAGTCCTGCAGGGCCCTAGTCTCTTGTGACAGAGCGTTCCACCAGATCAGGGCCATGGCCAAAAAAGCCCTGACTCTGGTTGAGGCCAGCCTAACCTCTCTGTGTCCCGGGATCTCCAAGATGTCTTTGTTTGAAGACCGTAAGGTCCTCCATGGGACATACCAGGAGAGGCGGTACCATAGGTACGAGGGTCCTAGGCCGTATAGGGCTTTAAAGGTTAAAACCAGCACCTTAAATCTGACCCTGTACTCCACCGGGAGCTAGTGCAGCTGGTATAGCACCGGGTGAATGTGATCCTATGGCGAGGACCCCGTAAGGAGTCTCGCCGCGGCATTCTGCACCCGCTGGAGTTTCTGGGTCAGTCTCAAGGGCAGCCCCAAGGGCAGAGTGAGTTACAATAATCAAGTCTGTCCAGTTGTCCACAGCTATTTATGAATCTGCAGGAAAGCAGCTTGCTTGTCTACCTCTCCATGCCGAATATACCTGCTGAGATTGTGTGCTTTTGTTCCTTGTTTTTCTTTGAAGCCTTGCGTTTCTATTGGAGGAGTTTCTCCACATCCCAGAATTCCTCAGGAGAGGCCTTGCGCTTGGGATTTCAGCCTTACATCCCCCAGTGCGATGGGCTGGGGAACTGGCTACCTGTCCAGTGTTATGGCAGCTCAGGTGAGAGAGAGGGTGAAAAAAGCCAGCTGGCAGCACTTAGGACAGCTAAGGAGTCCTAGGCCATGGTTAGTTCCTGTGGCCCCTCTTCGTTTACTGACCCTCAAAAGATTCTGTTGAAGAAACGTTTGAGGAGGGGGTTGGACAGGACTGGTGAGGGGTGTGATATGATGGGGGAGAATTAAGACCTGGACACAGAAGCCTGGAGAGGGCTGCATTTGGCCCTCTGTTCCCTACCCTGGCTAACATTTCTGTGGTTGGTATATCAGCTATTGGTAAGGGTTGCCACCATTACTCTGCCCACTTTTCCCTCTGGCTCCATCAAGGGATGCGGGTGGCACTGTGGTCTAAACCACTGAGTCCCTTGGGCTTGCTGTTTGGAAGGTCGGTGGTTTGAATCTGCGTGACGAGGTGAGCTCCTGTTACTCTGTCCCAGCTTCTGCCAACTTAACAGTTTGAAAACACACCAGTGTGAGTAGATAAATAGGTACCACTGTGGTGGGAAGGTAAATGGTGTTTCCATGTGCTCTGGCATTCATCATGGTGTCCTGTTGCACCAGAAGCGGTTTAGTCATGCTGGCCACATGACCTAGAAAACTGTCTGAGGACAAACTCTGGCTCCCTCGGCCTGAAAACGAGATGAGCGCCGCAACCCCATAGTCGCCTTTGACTGGACATAACTGCCCAGGGGTCCTTTACCTTTTTACCTTTACCTTACCACCAGCATGTGGCCCCCGGAAGTTGCTCACAAAGCAATGTGGCCCTCAAGCTGGGGAACAAAGATTCCCTGTTCCTGCTTTTAAAGACCAGGTCTTCTTGCCGATAATTTTCACCACAAGGGAATGGAACCTGTAAAAGGTTGCCCCCTGGGACTTGCTCATAGCGCTTGGGGAAGCGCAGAGTGCAAAACCAGCATTTCATTTCTTTGCAAATGTTGGGGAATCAGTACATCCTTTGCAGGATTGACTTCTGCTGGAAGAGAGAGAAATGGAGACAAGCGGTGCCTTTGTAATATCAGTTCATCTATAAATACACAAGTTAGGAAAGGATGGTTGTGGGCAATTGAGACGATGCCGAGGGCTAGTTCGGTGCAATTTATTCCATTATTTCGAATCTGTTGTCCAATTCCATCCACTGCAATTGAGTGTGCCAGGGAATCTGACTATCACAGATATTAGATATATGTTTTGTTGCATCTTAGGTCACTGCTGGTGTGTGGATGAGAGAGGACGCTATATATTGGATTCCCTGGTGACACGCTCAACACAGCTGCCCCAGTGTAAGTTGTATTCCTCTTTCAAAGCTTTGTCCTTGTCATAGAATCTTAGAATTGTAGGGATCCTAAGGAAGAAGAAGAAGAAGGAGGAGGAGAAGAAGAAGAAGAAGAAGAAGAAGAAGAAGAAGAAGAAGAAGAAGAAGAAGAAGAAGAGGAGAAGTTTGGATTTGATATCCCACTTTATCACTACCCGAAGGAGTCTCAAAGCGGCTAACATTCTCCTTTCCCTTCCTCCCCCACAACAAACACTCTGTGAGGTGAGTGGGGCTGAGAGACTTCAGAGAAGTGTGACTAGCCCAAGGTCACCCAGCAGCTGCATGTGGAGGAGTGGGGAAGCGAACCCAGTTCACCAGATTACAAGTCTACTGTTGTTAACCACTACACCACACTGGCTCCAGGGTCATCTAGGCCAAACCCTCTGCAAGGCAGGAATCTGTACCATATTTTTCAGTGTATAACACACCCTCGTGTACAAGCAGACCCCTATTTTTTTGGACCGCAACAAAATTTTATGGGGGTGGGGGAAATTGCCCAAAGTTGTTGAGCTTTTCCTGGGTGGGGTGTGTGTCATCGCTGCCAGTTGCACGCACGCCTCACGGCTGCCGTAACTACCACAACCAATTGCCGCAGCCACAGCCAATCAGCAGCACCCTTTGCCACAGCAACCATTCACACGCCCAATCGCCACTGACAATCTCCTGCTGGCTGTGGCCACCAATACTTATTGGCCTGTTGCTAACCATGTATAAGACGACCCACATAAATGGACCAATACCATGCCTTAGAAATTCCATTGGTGGCCATGAGCTGTACATGATACATGAGATGTACCGTATTTTTTGCTCTATAAGACTCACTTTTTCCCTCCTAAAAAGTAAGGGGAAATGTGTGTGCGTCTTATGGAGTGAATGCAGGCTGCACAGCTATCCCAGAAGCCAGAACAGCAAGAGGGATTGCTGCTTTCACTGCGTAGTGATCTCTCTTGTTGTTTTGGCTTCTGAGATTCAGAATATTTTTTTCTTGTTTTCCTCCTCCAAAAACTAGGTGCGTCTTGTGGTCTGGTGCGTCTTATAGAGTGAAAAATACAGTATTTTGTAACTACTTCTTTGTTCTGAGAGTCAGTTTCAGTGCAGATTCAGGGAGCATATTTCACACACACACACACACACACACACACACACCCTTTCCCTCTGGTTCTGTTGAAGTCATCAAAGTTACTCTAGGGATGGACTTGACTTCTTACTGCTTTCCCTGTGTGTCTGAATTTGCAACTACTTGCTGTGGTAATACACTTGGCTGGATTGCATCCTTAGTTTTCAGTCCCTGCAGCTGTCATCCCATCTGCATGGGGAACAAGCGACTGACTATGCACGGTGATATTCTGACTGGAACTTTCATGACTGACCAAGACTATTACTTTAATGCAGGTCAGACGCCATGTCAACGCTCCCAAGCGAATGCCTTACTCTCTGGCTGGAGACGGACTGGACTGATGTTTAATGTTACTTCAGCAGACCTGTTTGCTCCCTCCTGTTCAGAGGCAAGTCCAGTAGTGCTGAAACCTTACAGATTTTTACTCTGGTTTATAGGAATTATCGGACTGCAATCTGAACCGTGCACATTTCCAATCTGAATTTTGGAAAACGTGCATTTCGTTTTTGGGTAGGGATGAAATAAATCCAGTCCTGGTGATTTGTGGGATGGAACAAAGTGTCCTTCGCAATTTACCTCCCCCTTAATAAATAGTGAAGTCAGGGATAAGTCACCCATTTTTACGAAGGACACAAATTCAATGAACTATTTAGGAGGCTCCTTCCTTCCTTCCTTCCTTCCTTCCTTCCTTCCTTCCTTCCTTCCTTCCTTCTCTCGCTTCCTGTGCTGTTGGTGGTTGCTGTTGGCAAGCTGTGTCAGTTTGCATTTCTTAGTGCAGAAAGTATTGATCTGATGTGTAGAGATCTTTCCACTTCTGGCTAATTCAAGAGGGTTTCGGAAGCTTCTCTGTGTGAAAGAAGGAAGCAGAAGGTTCATGATGTTTGGGTTATTCCTTCAGAGAAGCTGAGTACAGCTGGCTTAATCTGGTTCTCTTATCTCTTTCTGTCAAGGTCATGCTGACTATAAAAGTAAGGCCAGAAGGAGCCTGGGCTTCACTTTCTATTTCTATCTCTTTTCCTTCTGGCGTGGTGCTCTGTCCATTGATAGTGTTAAGGTTCAGACTTATTATAAGTTATTGTAAGTTTAAGTTAAGTCTGCTGCAACTGGATTTCTTATTGGACAGTGCCAATCCTGAATGTATTGGATTTGTGACCATTATGCTCATTTGTCTTCGGTAGCAGTAAAGCTCTGCTGGATGAAATATTGATTGCCTCTGGTCTATTTTTTTGGGAATCCTGCAACGTGTTTAGGTTTTTACTCCGCTAACAATACATTGGAATCTGCTCAGGGTCAATATTGAGTAGAATTCCATGACTAGCTGCCCATTTGAGGTTGAAGAGAGAGCAGAATCCTATAGCGTAAGCAGAAGTCCTTGAGCGAAAAGGATAACTTTGTTAGATGCAACCCTCCATTTCTCAGATAACGGTCCTTAGATAAATAGCAGCCTTACAGAAGGCTTCTCGTTCTGCAACTATAACGCAGCTGCTTTCTTCTAGACTGGTGCCTATGCTGTGCTACAGAAGTCAGAAACCAGGGCCTGGTGTGTAGATCCAACATCTGGCGAAGCCTTTCAGCAGAGCGACGTTGATGCAAATGGCAGAGCTCACTGTAAGCGCCTTCCTTACCTTTCCTTCTGGTTTGGGGATGGACGAACCTGTCAATTTCAGTTTATTTTTGAAAATTCTTCAGCATCTCAGTGCACTTTTCTCGTCAGTGTGTTAGGATTACTTTCTCCTAATATACATACAGGGTTTTTTTTCCAGCTCGAACTCTCCGGAACTCAGTTCCGGTACCTCTCAGGTGGGTGCCAATTGCCATTCTAAGAGAAGGAGGGAGGCGTTCACGGGGAGTTCCACCACCTTTTTTACTAGAAAAATATCACTGTACAGTGGCACCTCGGGTTACAACCACTTTGGGTTACAAACTCCGCTAACCCAGAAGTAGTTGCTCCGTGTTGCGAACTTTGCCGCAGGATGACAACAGAAATCGTGCAGCGGTGGTGCTGCGGCAGTGGGAGATCCCATTAGCGAAAGCGCACCTCCGGTTAAGAAGGTTTCGGGTTAAGAACGGACCTCTGGATCATGCCCTTCCAGCCGTGACGAAACCCAGACCTCTGGTGTGACGTAAATCAGTGACTCAGACTTCAAAGCCTGAGCACACTATATCAGCAGAGCGTACTGCGCAAACAGAAGTGGCGTGAGGCTTGTGGAAACATACTAACAAGCTACAGATTTATTAAGCATAAATCATGACAAAGGAAACATGTCATCTCTCGTCTCCTCAGAGAGAGTCAAAAGCAAAAGCTATACACAATGGAAGTTCCCAGCAAACTGCTGGAACGTAAACAGACATGTGACATGTAACAATCTCACACGTCTGCAACTTAAGGTGGAATAGAATTTTCCAACAGATGTGTACATGGGTTTTGTCAGCAATTCTACCTAATATAATGCATTTCTGTATGTTATCTCCATTAACAGATGCATTTTTATCTCGTGAACTGCCCTGAGACTTATGGGTAGAGGGTGGTATACAAATTTAATTAATGATAATGATAATATTTAGGTACACTGTCTGTCAAGGACCACCTAATTCCTTATATCCTTGCCCAATGATTGAGCTCTTTGGGGTGGTCACTGTTAGTGCTCCCCCCCTGAGCCCAGATGCACAACTCATCTTTGCCCATAGCCATGCATTTAGCCTTATAGGGCTCTTTTTCACCATCTCTCTTTTCCTCTTCAAAAGGCCCCAGTTACTGCAAGATGCTGGAGTCCAAGGCTCTCTTGCGGGAAATGGGTCGAGGTTACATCCCTCAGTGTGAAGGCAGCAGTGGGGGGTTCTCACCCGTGCAACGGACCGAAGACCAGGAAAGCAGCTGGTGTGTCTTTGAGAACGGAGAGGAGGTTCCTGGAACACGAATCAATGGAAAAAAGCTTTCATGCGAACGTGAGTGAACTTGGAAGTCTGGGCAGTTTTGTGCTTTCGTTAGAGAGGTTGTGGCCAATCTGCACACTGGGAAACGCTGGTTTGCATTGCATGGATTCATGTGGGAACTTTGAGAATTTAATGAAATATATCTATCATCTATCTATCTATCTATCTATCTATATCTATCTATCTATCTATCATCTATCTATCTATCTATTGATCTATTGATCTATCAATCTATCGATCTCTATCTCCAGGTCATGATTGATAGGATGGATGGATGGATGGATGGATAGATAGATATTGAGTTCTAGGAGTTCTTACATTTAGGATTCCGGAGAACGCATTGACAATGAGACTTTTCTGCATGATTGAAAAGCTAGTTAAGCAGTGCTGGACATGAAATAGGGAGACCTGCGTTCGAAAAAGCTTTCTGGGTAGCCTTAGGAAGATCACACTGGAATGTCTTCACGGGATTGTTTAGGTGGGGCGTGTATGTAATAATGTCACATCCTCTGAGGTCTCAGAAAGTTACAAATGGAATTTTGTTGTCGTTTAGTCGTGTCCGACTCTTCATGACCCCATGGACCAGAGCATGCCAGGCACTCCTGTCTTCCACTGCCTCCCGCAGTTTGGTCAAACTCATGCTGGTAGCTTCGAGAACACTGTCCAACTATCTCATCCTCTGTCGTCCCCTTCTCCTTGTGCCCTCCATCTTTCCCAACATCAGGGTCTTTTCCAGGGAGTCTTCTCTCCTCATGAGGTGGCCAAAGTATTGGAGCCTCAGCTTCACCATCTGTCCTTCCAGTGAGCACTCAGGGCTGATTTCCTTCAGAATGGATAGGTTTGATCTTCTTGCAATCCATGGGACTCTCAAGAGTCTCCTCCAGCACCATAATGCAAAAGCATCAATTCTTCGACGATCAGCCTTCTTGATGGTCCAGCTCTCACTTCCATACATCATTACTGGGAAAACCATAGCTTTAACTATACAGACCTTTGTTGGCAAGCTGATGTCTCTGCTTTTTAAGATGCTGTCATGGTTTGTCATTGCTACAAATGGAATAGATGCCTGATTACATTATAGTTCCAGATCTGCTCTCAGAATCAGCTGGATGAATCTGTGCCTACCGTAAGAGGAACTGCAGCAAAAAACCATCTGTCCCAGGAAGCTGCTATTGGCTGTCAGGCTGTCAGGTGACTCTTCCCTGGATCCAATGGGGACATGCCAGTTGGTGGCTCTCAGGGCTAATCCATATATATATATGTATAGCAGAACCAAACGATAAAGCTTTTTCCTGGACTGTACTACTTCA